ACTAAAACAAAAAATGCTAAAAACGCCAACAAGGAAATTGTGATAAATTAAAAAAAAATGTCAGAGTTATTTTCTAGTTTTAACTTACTGTACAGTAAGTATATTAAATAAGTTCAAATGGACGAAAAAAACTTCTACCGATTGCTTACTTATTACATACATTCAATCCATCAAAGTTGATCATAGTTTTTTTTGGCTGATTATTTTGATAGATAATAGGCTCAGAAAAGAAGTGTATCATTTTTTCATATATGACATTTTATATTTAAGGTTTTGTAATTTTATTTTTTTGATGTATCGCTTATCTCATTGATACGTAAACATTTTATTCTTTCCTCTGCCCCTCAATTTTTTCTTTTATGCATTAGAAGACATAATGATAATTGTCTAATGATATGTAAACTATTAGTGCAGGATATGGCTTTGACAATACATAGATACATAGATATATCTATATGCATATATAGTGTATATAAGTAAGAGTAGACTTAACATTTTTTTTCTTACTGTCATCAGATTTATTCTTTTTTGCAAAATTAGTTACAACATAAATTTTGATTTTTTTTTGGTAATGAGATACATATTAGTAGTAAATGCAAATACTTGAAAATTTTACATTCAATCTGTTCAGACTAATCCGATCAGTTTATCTTTCTTTCTTTCTTTCTTATTTTTCTTACATTCTTTCTACTTACATTTAAATGTAGAAAAGAAGGAACACACAATCGTTGTTGTTTTGATACAGAAAAAAAAAAGATACCTTCTCTTTCTCTTTCTTCATTCTTCTTCTTCTTCATTTTTTTCCCTCAGAGAGAAATTACAACAACAAAAAAAAAGAGTCAAATTGATACAAGACGAAAAAAAATCTAAAAATCAGGCTAAAAAATATTTTAATTGATGATTATGCAATATTGTGTATTTTTTTATTCTGCTATACACTACTACTACTCACACTACTACTACTACTAGTACCAGTGTAAAAATAATAACCTATCGGCCTGATTAACACCATATGTTGTTGTACACATGTTACAGAATGTCCAGTTAATTTACTCGTAATGCACAGCAAAAGAATATTTTGATAAATTCTAATCTTAACCAATGCTATTTTCAATAAGTATTCAAGTCAGTATTATATACTATGATAACTTTCTTGTATTATCAATAATCTCAATTGAAATTTACATTGACTAATCATAATCATTAATTTTCATCAAATTTGACAAGTAAAAAAGACATTGTAAACTTTCACTGAATGAAATGAAAGCTAAAAAAATAATAAGGAATAAAAATAATCATAAACATTTATAAAGTTAAAAGATATTAAAAATTGTTTTATACAGCAAGAATAAGAACACACTGGTGCATAGATGTAGTTGATGATTATAACGCACACAAAAACCAGTAGAATGGAAATTGTTTTTCTTAAACGAAAATTCACTTACATTCTTGTTCACTTTAACTATGAATGAATTCAAGTTCAATTAGTAGGCAACTAGCTAACATGGAGTTGTTTAGATATGGTAATTAATAAAAGAAACGAATAGATTTATATTTTTTGGAAGTAAAGGCGAGATTTAAATGAAGAAGATGGCTAATTTGAATACCATTAGTTTCTATCCTGTATTGAATCGAACTTTTATCGAAACTTACAAATCACTTATATACATTCATGGATGTTGACTAGCATTACGATTCACTATGTGTTTTTCACCCAAGTTGAGGTTTTTCATTTGAAGATACCTTTATCTCATGGTTGATGTTAACTTCAGAGCTCGAAACTCTTATCACTCTCTTCAACGTCCACTTAGCTACTGAGCTATCTGAAATTGATAGTTCTAATTCTAGAGTGAATACAAGTATGGGTGCATGTAAGTCCAACAGACGAGTTCCACCGCTAGCCACCTTCCACCTTAACTGAAAATGCTTGTTAATCAATGGAAATATCGAGGTAATCCACACAGGATGCACAGTTACCGAAAGAGACGGATTAATTAGTCATAAACACCAAGGGCAAGATTCATGCAGCTAACACACATGGGCTCATAACTTAGTTTTTAATATCCGAAAGTTATTTTAAGAAGCTTCATTATTGACATTTTGACACTTTAATGTGAAGGTAAACTTAGCAGTTTACAGTTTTTTTTTAGTAAAATAAATCCATGATCATTTCTTGTGAACAGTCACAAATCAATGTTTGTCAGATTTTATAATGCGTTTGGGCATATTTTAATAGTCGGTCAAATCATGTCAAAATGTAATGTGTATGTTACACTTGACTATTAAATTGGATTATTATATTTGTCTAAAGAGACACTTATTTTTGATGACGAAATGACTAAGAACAGCTCATCATCATCATCATCATCATAGATTTGCCAAACAAAATAAAATGAACTGAACTAAATCAAATGTGTATAAGTTTAGTTATTGTCAAGCGTACTGATTAGGTTATTTGATCAGTTATAATAGTTATTGATTAGTTATATAAAGATATATTGAGAAAAAAAGATACTACATTGTGATAAGTGTGGACAAGATCACTAGTCTAATCAGCTTATAATTCTCACGTATAATTCTTACTAGTGTGCTATTGTTTTATCGGATGGCTTATAAACTTACTACTTCATATCTCACTGAATTTTTTTGATTAAAGACTTTAATTCTTTGATTATCAAGTAAAAATAAATACAGTATAACAATAAAGAATACTTTGGAAAGGATTTGGGGAATAATATTAAAGTCATTTGTTACCACTGAGTAAAATTTCTCATTTCTAAGTGACCAGTGAATTCTGAACTTGACAGTAATATTTTTTTCTACAAATACCTGGAACTCATAAACTTTAATCATTCTGAAAATAAAGCTTACTATATTACTAGTTTTATAATAATATGTACCAGTCATCGTGTTACCTGTCAAATGATATCAAAATGTCTCGTTTGCAGAAATCGATTACTTTCTAGTACACTGATCATATCAGTGATCTTACCAAAATTCTATTACATTCACAGATAATCTCTTAAAAAGCACTGAAGCATATGCAGTGACTGGAGACTTAAGTTGAGAGTTTTAACTGGCTCCGTACCATTTGGCCGAATCTTGCTACAACTACTTTCTGAATGGTTGATTTTCAATGACATTTCAAAACTTCATTAAAACACCCATCTTATTACTTTACCTTTCTGTTATCTTTTCAGGTATGAAGAGTAGTCACTGAGTAGATAATACAAGATCAACCACGATGTGTATACTGTACGTTCACTATGGGTTTGGTATTTTTATTTGTTTAGCTAGAGTAGGATGATAACAACTTGATAAAATCATCAGACTACATTAGACTCGACTATACATGACATGAATTAATTACTGAGTGTTCAATTACTGTAGATATCTATCAGTATACTGATAGATCAATAGTTGGGACTTTGATCACTCAAATGGTAACATCTTCAACCACATATTATCGTCTATTAAACATTCAATGAAAAGTGTTACACTATCTTACATAATCATAATTCATTAAATAAAATTTCAAATTTTTTTTCGCATTGGATAATTATCGATTATTTTTTGTTGAATGAGTTTTTTTCTTTGTTGTAAAGATAGATTATTGATGAAATTTAAATTTACAATTGTCATATTCTTTTTAGCATTTTAGTATAATTATTCAAATTAATTTATTATTTTTTTTGGAGCCATAATATTTATCAGGAGAAATATCAATTTGATTTTTTATGATTTTATTAGTTGTACAATTTTCTTGGTTGATTTTTTTTGTCCACCTCTCCTCTCTGCCTTAATTAACTTATTCATGGAATAAAGAGAATAAGATTTTTTTCTCTCTCTCTTTCTTCAATATTAACAGATAAAAAACATTTTTCATCTTTTTGACTAATAATTTTGATGATAAAAATGAAAATATTTGTATTTCTTGCTTGCACTGAAATTAAGACACATTAAACAATTAGATAATGATTGTCTGAAATATTCTTATGTAATTCATGTTATTTTTTTATTGCTGTAGATTTCACTCATTTATATGTTTAGGTAGAATTAAAATGATTTTAGAATAAATAAAGAGAAAGAAATAAGATGTTGTGTGACGCTTAAAGCGATGTGTTGTAGGTTGTGATGAAGAGTAGTTATAGCTTAGACTAAGGATCTTTTTTCTCTCTCAGCTAGAATAACATCATCTCTACTCAACGCGAAGAGGTGAGTTGTGAGAATTTTTCCATATGTGATTAGCTGAGTGTTATATTGATTAACAGTATAGTTGGTTGATGCCGATTAGTATGTTTTTTTTTTGAATGTTTTCCAATTTCACCTGATCTCTAACCTTGATTTAATCTATCAAGTGAAATGGGAAAGGTTAAACAAATTCATTTCTCATATATCTATTGCTTGATGTGTTATCAAAGTGCTGATCTCCTGAAAATTCCCTGGTTTTCTATGTTTTCTCTGTCCAACATTTCAACGTTTTCGCAACTGAAATCGTGCTCAAAGTTATCTACATGTTTTGATTTAAAAACAAGCTATGTAGTGGCTAATGTTCACGTAAACGTAGATGTACTGAGTGCCCGCTTTGTTGATATATGCTAATTTTAAAAGCTGCTGTTATCGATTTTCCAGATGTTTGACCTATGCGTGATTGTCACTGGATCTTTTAACCTGCATAATACTGTGAATTTGTGCACTATACCAATCTGTCTTCAATCTGCGAGATGTATAACATTGTAATGAAATGTAATAGAATGATCTATCGCTAATATCTGACATTCGTCACAGTTTTTCTTCTATGACAGATAGTGTTTTACCATCTATGTTATTGGGTTTTATTCTATTTTGTTGTATTTCTAAAAGTATTGCTCGATCGATTAGCACCTATATAGATTAGCTATTCATCTAATTAGCTTATTTCTTATTTTATTTGACTTTAAGATGATTATTGACAAAACATGGATTTAAAATCTTTATTAAGCTCACGGGTGACGTTTTAGCCTACTACTACTACTACTACTACTACTACTACTACTACTACTACTACTACTACTACTACTACTACTACTACTACTACTACTACTACTACTACTACTACTACTACTACTACTACTACTACTACTACTACTACTACTACTACTACTACTACTACTACTACTACTACTACTACTACTACTACTACTACTACTACTACTACTACTACTACTACTACTACTACTACTACTACTACTACTACTACTACTACTACTACTACTACTACTACTACTACTACTACTACTACTACTACTACTACTACTACTACTACTACTACTACTACTACTACTACTAAAATCTGTTATTATTTTTGGATATTTAGAAATATCTATATATATATATATATATATATATATATATATATATCATATTTCTATAGATGAATAATATTTTCAATGTATCATCTAAATATACCAGTTATCTTCTTGTGTAATATAAACTGAAAGAATTCATGTAAAATATCTTTTTAATACTCAAGATATTCCAGAAATAAATAAAGTCTGAAGGAACATTTTATTTTAAAATCTGTGGAATTGTTGAACATAACTGAATTAAGAATTATTGACAACGAAAATGTTTTGTTTTCTTTCAAGAGTCAAAAGTTGAATTAAAACATTTGACAAATGAAAGTTACATAACAAAGTGATATCGATTGTATGCGATTTTTTGACTTATACAAATTAAACTTTTATCAATCTAAAATATTATGTTTAGTTATAGTTGATTTCACTGACATCCAACTATTGGAACCAGTCCATGAGACTGGAAAAATATTGAACATAAACAGAAGAGTAAATTTGAATTGTTATTGTCTTTGAAATTCCTTGACACAAATGATATTTGTAAATAAGAAATAATATGCGAATATGGTTTAATCTGATGAATAAAGTACCAACATCACACGTTCATATTTTACAAATGTAAAAATTTCAACTTATACAATCTAGTGAAATGTACATGAACTAATAAATTTAGGGTAGGACAAAAAATTGGCAGTGAAATCGAAGGCATAAATCTCGTCCTATTTCAGACTTATAACACACAATGCACCAATCTTTTAAGTATTAGCATAGGCTTGTAATTTTTAATTTTTTTAAACTATAACTGACTAGACTCTGCTGTCATATGTATAACTTGATTGGATTGCCTAGACTTAGTTTTTAGTTGTATGAAATAGTATACAATGAGAAACCTAACAATATTTGTCAAACACCTTGATATGTCAAAATTTTAAGTATGATTGATGATAACAACTTCTATTGAAAGCTTTAATTATGTAATAATATAATCTACTTTGATTGATAAAGTTTAAAACAAGTAATGTTTTTGGTGAATATATCTTTAATACAGAAAGAATATTGATTAGATTCAAAATAGATTTATTTAAATGCATAATTTTTGTACTCGTCTCAATAAACTTGACAGTAGAGTTAGTTCACAAATGAACAAGTCGATAATTCTGAGAAAAATCAACTTCAGTAGAATGATCATCATAAAAAAAAAACAAATCTCACATATATTTTTGTTCATTAATTTTTATATTTTTTGAATTGTCTGATTACGAAGATTGAACATAATTCACAGTTTTTTTTATTGATGCTTTATTGATAAAGAATAATGATGATGAAAAAAAAAATCAGCTCAATGAAATGTCAAAACATTGAAACACAACTGATTTGTTTAGTAAGTTGATAATCACTAGTTAACTTTGAAAGTTAACAGTTACTGATAGTAAAGCGCTTAAACGTCTATACATTTTTAGATTTAGAAAGCCTATCTTAATCAGATCTATGGTTAGATTGATATGTCTAATCTCATCTATTCTGTAAACGAATTTAACGGAGAATTTCGATCAATGAACAAGTATTTTGACGGAAAAGTCTACAGAATGATTAGTATAAGGTTTATTGGCAGTGTAAATTTCACACTGCATCAAGTTTTTTTTAATAGCATTTGTTTTATAGAATAAAATGCACACAGACAGCTGATAAAATCATGCAAAAGTTGATTAGAGATTAGTTGTGAATAACTAATTTTGGTCTGTCAAATCAAAAAAATTAGTGTAAGTATACTCCAATGGGAATTTGATAAAATGAAAATAAATAATAATCCAAGATTTTATGAAGGTTATTTCAATGAAGATCGTATATTTTAGATTATAAACCAATTAGTGCTATAGCTAGATTTTGATTGGAGCAGATTATGTCACATAAGTTTAAACCATTTTGATGGACAAAATGACCAGAAAATTCTGGAAAGTATACACGGAAATTTTATAAATATTTCACTGAAGTTATAAATCAATTCCGAATGCCAGCTCAGAGGTCTAAAGCTTAAGCATTTGCGAGCGAGCACGAAGGACCTGGTTTCGATTCCTGCCTGAATAGTCATGGATACGCAATTCTGAGGAGTTTTATACTAGAACACGTTTTCAATGATTGTCTAATATCGATCGGTGCACGATTCCACCGGAACTCATAAATGATCACAACCATATACTGATTACATATATTTCCGGACAAGTAACTACTATTAACAAAAGATTATAGCTAATACTAATTCTCGTCTGGGCTACTTTAAAAATGTTTACAGTTTTGATTGTAAGTAAATTCACTGAAAAGTGTCCAATGTTTACCTAAGCGTTTTTGTTAGTTCTGCTTTACAAAGACTACTCAAATAACTTACTAGGAGTTCATCCAACAATCACATTTATTACATCATTAGGTTAAGCTTGTATTCAATTTCAAAATCTTCGGTTCTTGATAGAGGCATTGAATCAATGGTTTATGTCATTATTTTTAAATGAAAAAACATTATCTGAAAGAGACACAAAACAGTCAACAGAATAACAAACACAAATGAAAAAAAATGAAACGTACGGAAATAATTGATCACAAACAAGTGGGTCAGAAGGAGTTCAATTAAAACTTGAAGGATAACTTAAAAACTTACTTCTATATGAAGTGTAAGTTGATGATTTAGACTAGAATGAGAATATGTGACCCGAAACAAAAATTTCTCATTCAGGAAACTCAATAACACTATGAAAAAGGGACTATGAATATAACAACAAATTCAACTAAATATCGAGCGGATAAAATGATATTGAAATGATCTAATAAGTTGAATAATATAGGGTGTTTAAAGCAGTTTACAAAAGAGGTTACTAAGACGAAATTATAGTTATAACTTCATGATAGAGTGAAATTACTTTCATTAAAATCGTGAATTGATCAATGTTAGGCCAACAGTGGTAACACGGAAGCATTGGATATTCACCTCATCCCAGTAAAGGACTCATCACCACGATGTATTCATGATACCGCAGGTGGGAAGAGAACCCAGGACCTTCGGTCTAGCTCGCGAACACTTAGACCACTAAGGTGGTGTCATCTAACGACGGTAATGTCCAGCTTTAATCAATCCACAATATTACACGACCTAATCACCATTGTAGGGTAGTGGATGCGCACATTGAATTGATTCGGATAAGACACGCAGTATATTTCAGGAACTGGTAATTTCATCCACAATAAATTCTGAAAATTTAACATTTGTAGGATGGTGTAAAAGCAGAGCAAAGAAAACTATATCAATTTCCTTCTAACGCAAAAAAAAATCTGTTAAGTTTCTGCCAGAGCTTTGCAGTGTTCATATGATGCTTTAAGTTGTAACTTATCGCTTGCTAATTACACAGCATATGAATGGTATTGACGATAAAAATGGATCTTCACTCTAGCTAGCTAGGCAGAGAATTCACCTGACAAAAATCGTGTTGCCTTTGGAATCTTCACTGTTTAAGAGGAGTGTTAATCACAACAATAAATCAAATAAACATCGATAGGAGTTAAATAACGTAGTAAAAATTAAAACAAATAGATTCAGTTGGTTCAAGTTTTATGATGTTCACTATTGTGACTGCTATTACAGAATTTTTCATCATTCAACAAGTTATCGATTCTTATCACACAATAAACACAATATAGATTACTTAATACTCCACAAAATCTCATGATTCTGATTTTGTTACTGTTTTATCATGAAAAATTGCCATCGAAATAAATTCACTGTTAAGTAAATTATCATCATGGTTTTCATTTTTTTTTTTGACGTGAAAATGTTTATTCAGTTCTGCATAACTATCTATCTATCTATACAGTAAGATTTTTTACATAGATATTAGTCGATTATTCATTTTATACGCATAAATCTCCTCTCTATGTACATGCATACAACACACACACACACACGTACACATACACACAGTACAATCAATCTCATGTGGACTTAATGATAGAAAATTTCTAACTTAATCATTCAGTTTGATGATAATTTTATGATTAAATAATCATCTAATTGATAATTAATAATTAGTTATTAAAAATAATCTTAACCGTAATAATAATTTGATGAAGAAAATGAACTATTTAATTCTATGAAGATAAATTCCTGTAGAAAAAAAAATGAAGAAAATGAAAACGAAAAAACTCAAAATATATTTAAAGTAAACTGTAGAATATAAATAAAAAAGATAAATCATTATTAGACCACAATTAGAAATCTGGACGCACTGGACGATCATTTCTTCTTGGTATGGGACTCATCAGTAGTACTCATCCATGACTCCTACCACTCACATTATTCGAACTCATGAACCTTCTGTCTTGCGCTCGAACTCTGAACCTCTGGACCACTGAGCCGGCACCCAACGATGTTAATAGCTAACTGTGATCAATCTAAGTGTTTTGCGCAGTTTCACCAATTGTCTTAGTTAATTACTGCCCACAGGGTTGAACTCCATTAGTCATGACTTCTAACTAGAACTGCGAGAATTTCCTCACGAAGTTAGTCACTAGTGAGCACTTTCTAATGGCGGTCTAACAAAGGTTAATTCGTGATTTCAACATGTAAGAACAACGATCTCCATAATACTGTAATGTGAAAACAAAAAAATGATACTCATATTTTCAAAGTAAATGAACCCTGACACTACTGTGTAATCAATTCTTTGATTGAATCGATTTGCATGGTTAAAATTTGATTAATTTTAGGTAGATGATATATGTGTTTCATTCACCAGCATAGTAAAGTAACTCATACTAGGAACTGCTGTGTGGTCAAACAAAGATACAGTTAACTCTAAAAGCATGTCTTCAACAAAGTTAGACAAAAAATGGAGAGAGTAGATAGCCCTGACGAACACCACATGAAGTAAATTATTTCAATGACTGTTCACCATACGCTCTCACTGGACCACTGGTGTTCGAGTAGAGTGCTTGTATAAGGTTTTGCACTTCTTTGGTACGCCTTTCAATGACAGACACTGCCACAAAGCCTCACGGTCAGCAGAGTCGAATACAGCTTTAAGGTCGAAAAGTGCTACTATTGTGCGACGTCTGAAAGTGTGTCTTTGTTTTAGGACCTGACGCAGTGTGAATATCTGGTCTAAACAGGCACATCCAGGTCGAAAACCAATCTGGTTTACTCGAATCTGCTGTTTACGA